TGTTCTCCGCCGGGGATAGATTTGGTTCTTGAAATCCCGCGGTGTATAGAGACGAAGCTGAGGTGCGGTCGAGACTGTCGACAATGATTGGCCGGAATTGTCGCAGGCGGTCCTGTGGTAACGCTAAATAAAACTTGAGGCCGTGTTCGATAGCTGTGGACAGAAGTCGATGTATGGTCCCTATGGTATCCCAACAGTTAGCCCAGTACCTGAGCCGAGCTTCACTTTCAATGTCTGGGATGAAGATGTACGCTGTCTCTAGGAAGTCTGCATTCCATGCAAAGCCCGGTGCAAACCATGTGCTTTCGGTGTATGTGATCTTCGCGGATTCGTCCTTCAACATTCTTCTGAACATGACTTCTGGCCTTTCATGCGATACGAAGAAAGGGTCTGACAGGCGTGCCGGTGATTGAGAGCGACGGTAAGGGGAAGGATCGATTCCACGCGCTGCTCGAGCTTCTGAGGTTTGACGTCGAGATTGCTCGAGTTTTTTCACGTTGAACCGAATCCATGCTGCGGGACTGTTCACGGCGCGGGGGTGGTAGAGAACTTCCGGAACTTCGACGAACCTAACGAACAGAAGATCCTCGTCTGTAGAACCGCTGCATGAGTCTGCGGACATATCGTCGGTACGTATGTCACTTGAGAGGCGGTCTTGAAGGGATCAATTTCCGCCTAGACGTTCAAGAAGGGAGGGGCTCTGGCGATTATGCCGTGAGGTGATGAGACCTGTTTCTCGGTCGTACGTTGTCCCGGTTCTGGGGGCGTAGTCGAATTGGAACTCTTCACGAATTAGATATGCAATTTCTTCTCCTGGTAGGTGCGCCTTGTATCGCCTTCTCAGATATTCGTCGCATGGCAGCCTTTTCCTCCATCTCCAGAATACGACAGTCTTGTACTCCTTGTCCCCGTCCTCCTCTAGGACTTTGTAGTGGTAGAATTTCGTGAGGCTGGCGAGCGTTGCGTCGTCTCGTTTAACGGGTCGCCTCTTCCACCCTTCGAAGTCAATGATAAAGGCTGAATAGGTGTGGAGGATGGGTGCCTCGTCCGTCCCTTGGTACGCAAATATCTCTTGAAAGAAGTGGTCTAACGTGGTCGCTTGACGAGCGATCTTGTTGATGTCTGCTTCTTCGAGGTCTGGAATTAGGGTTAGTGGCGTCCCCTGTCGTACTGCCCAGTAGGTCATGTTCAGGCTGGGATTGAGACAGCTGAACCTTTCATCGGAACGTGCTTCAAAATCCCATAAGTAAAAGAAGGGGATGTCGTGTTGAAGGTACAGAGGGATGTTAATCGTCTGCCAATCCCTATCCAAGTCGCAAATCACGCCTCTCCTAGTTTTAACGGTGGAAAGGATTGATGATACTTGATGGACGACTGAGTCTGCGAGGTCCTTCTCCCAATTGACAATGATTGTGGTCCACCAGGCTAGCCATCTGATAGAGTGAAGGGCGGATCGTTTCGCCTTTGCCGCGTTAATCTGAACGAGCTTCTGCGTGGGGTAGATTTTGGCTAAACGTTCC